CTTACTTCCAGTAATATACATACTTCCAGTTATCTATCTACTTCCAGTAATGTACCGACTCCATCAACCTACATCCAGTAATCTACCTACTCCGTCTTCTACCTACTTCCAGTAATCTACCTAATTCCAGTAATCTACTTTCTTCCAGTAATCTACCTACTCCGTCTATCTTCTTCCAGTAATCTACCTACTCCGTCTCCCTTCTTCCAGTAATCTACCTACTCCGTCTCCCTTCTTCCAGTAATCTACCTACCCCATCTACCTTCTTCCAGTAATCTACATACTCTGTCTAACTTCCTCCAGTAATGTACCTACTCCTTCAACCTTCTTCCAGTAATGTACCTACTCCGTCTACCTTCTTCCAGTAATCTACCTACTCCGTCTACCTTCTTCCAGTAATCTACCTACACCGTCTACCTTCTTCCAGTAATCTACCTTCCAGTCTACCTTCTTCCAGTAATCTACCTACTCCCTCTACCTTCTTCTAGTAATCTACCTACTCCTTCTACCTTCGTCCAGTAATCGACCTACTCCGTCTCCCTTCTTCCAGTAATCTACCTACATCCAGTAATCTACCTACTCCATCTACCTACTTCCAGTAATCTATCTACTCCGTCTACCTTCTTCCAGTAATTTACCTACTCTGTCTACCTACATCCAGTTATCTACCTTCTTCCAGTAATCTACCTACTCTGTCTATCTTCTTCCAGTAATCTACCTACTCCGTCTACCTTCTTCCAGTAATCTACCTACTCCATCTACCTTCTTCCAGTAATCTACCTACTCTGTCTACCTTCGTCCAGTAATCTATCTACTCTGTCTATCTTCTTCCAGTAATCTACCTACTCCGTATACCTTCTTCCAGTAATCTACCTACTCCATCTACCTTCGTCCAGTAATCTACCTACTCTGTCTACCTTCTTCCAGTCATCTACCTACTCCGTCTACCTTCTTCCAGTAATCTACCTACTATCCACTCTGGCTCAAGATGTGGAGAAGATAACAACAGCCAATGCAGTGTGTGTGCATGTGTCTACGTGCCTGTGTGTGTTTGTGTCTGTGTGCGTGCGTGCGTGCATGTGTGTGTGTGTCTGCATGTGTTTGCCTGTGTGTGTTTGTTTAGTGCAGTGGGAGAAAGGTATTCAGCTGAATTTAAATAGGAGGGCCTCCCTATCCAGAACCACATCCAGATTGGTTGCCCTGATAAGGAGCATATAGCTTTAAAGCTTCGAAGTTGGCATTATTTCTGCTTAAGTTAATACGTCACTGAATGCTGACACTATGGAAAATCGAGGAGGAAAAACCCTCATGGTAATATCATAATTAAGATCCTACAGATTTGAGGGTAAGGGTAAACCACAGAGTGTGTTAGAAAATAGAGACTCTTCTGTTCTTTCCCTGACATTCCCTCTTCCATCCTTCCTCCATCATTGAGTGTACTTTAAACTTTTAACAGAGCTGAGATTTACTTTGAAGTCCAAAGTGTAGCAATAAAGGTGTAATCAGTCATTGACACAGACATGGTGGTGTGGCAGGAAGATTGGTATACTGTGGACCAAGAGGTTGTTAGTTAAAATCCCAGACAAGGACATGTTTAATAATAATTACTGTACAAATGAACAATCGTGTGTCAAATATGTAAATTGAAAACATTGTACACTGAACAAAAATATTAACGCAACATGTCAAGTGTTTGTTTCATGAGCTGAAATAAAAGATCCCCAACATTTTCCATACGCACAAAAAGCGTATTTCTCTCAAATGTTGTGCTCAAATTTGTTTACATCCCTGTTAGTGAGCATTTCTTCTTTGCCAAGATAATCCAGCCAACTGACAGGTGTGGCATGTCAAGAAGCTGATTAACCTTCATGATCATTACTGAGGTGCACCTTGTGCTGGGGACAATACAAGTAAAAAATGTTTTGATCAAAGTGTTACCTGAACTTAAAACTTTTAGTTGTCCCAAACTTAGCTCCAACTTGAGAAAACTTAGGCTTCAACTTAAAGTTTTCTGAAGTTGGAGCTAAGTTTGGGACAACTAAAAGTTTTAAATTCAGGTAATACTTTGATCGAAAAGTTGAGTAAATTTAAAAAGTCTGTGGAACCAGTTACTTCATAATAATTGGTTTAAACAACTAGATAACATTTCTACAGTGATACCTCCTTTTCCCGTCCTGCTCCTCCTCCACCTCACCCCCAACCCTTATAGGTCCTGGGAAACCTCTTGGGTTGCTCAAAAATAAACAACAGTTTGGCAATAGAATGGTGCTTCAAAGATCTGTCTGTTGGAGACTAATGATGCTCTTTAGACTGATACTGTTCCATAGAAGGTTCCTTAAGGTCCAACTACACACAGTACAGAAAGTCAGTGTGTGTGTGTGTGTGTGTGTGTGTGTGTGTGTGTGTGTGTGTGGTGTGTGTGTGTGTGTGTGTGTGTGTGTGTGTGTGTGTGTGTGTGTGCGGAAGTGTGTTGGGTGTGACAGTGTGTGTGTGTCGGAGTGTGGTCAGGTAGCTGACATGTGGCCAGGCCTCAGTGCCGTGTGGTGCAGGTCCAGCAGACAGGGCATCAGTGCAACAAGGCTTTGTGTACAAAGTGTGTGTGTGTGTGTTTGAGTGTGTGTGTGTGTGTGTGTGTGTGAGTGACAGGGCAACAGGGCTTTGTGTACAGATGATGTCTACCACCATTACAGGGAAGGAGGCTTGTTATGGTGTCATAGTGACTCTGTCCAAACAGACACAAACAACCTACTGACTGACTAGAACCACGTTGAGTTATACACAAAGACTAAGGGCTAGATTCAATCCGACCTCCCCTTTACGGCCATGCACATTTTTAAGGTAATGTTTCCGCGTTTCGCGAGACCATATTCACGGTAAACACTGCATATGTCGGCTAAGTCGAAAACGACCTTTAAATGTCAATCTCGCTGTAACGCCGATATTCCGCGGTCCGGATTGAATCTAGGCCCAAGGCTGAAAACAAAGCAGAGATGAATCACACAGGCTAACAACCCAACAAAGCTTTCCCTCTCAGACAGATCACAGCGGTGGTCAAACTGATGGGAGTGAGACTATGCAATACAATACAAACTTTATAGTATTTTCCTGAAAATCCATCCAACCCCAAGTGAAAGTTACTTTGAGGACACCAGAAACCTCTTAAACCCATCTCTCAGCTGTTCTGAACAGCTTCCCCATGTTCTATTGCCTTCTGACGCATTTAGGCGCATTTTAGGTGGTTTCAATTAGCATACCTCCTCCCAAATGTTGTAGAACCTGGAGCAGGGGTAGAGGAAATGCCAGCAGTTAAAGGGGCAATCTGCAGTTGCTACATCCATTTTTTGACTGTATAGCCTCAAAACATGGTTAAAACTATAATTTAATATCATGGATCCTCAGTCCTTGTATCCATAGCTCCGTCTATACATTTGAGATTGGTAAAATTTCTCCAGCCCAATCCCTCAGCTTTTTACTGAAATAGTGACGGGCAGTACGCTTTGTTATTGTTTAAAGTGCAGATTGCCCCTTAAAGCATGGCGTCACACAGAGCACAAAGGCTTGTAGTGTGTGTCTCATTCTGAGAAATTGTTTGTTGTGCACTTTTCAGTCCAGAGGTAGGCATAGGTAACCACCCTTAGCCTAATGACCCTGAGCCCACAACAAAGAGAGCGCTGTTGTGTTTGCAGTTTGCACGGTCAGTCCAGTGTGTGTGTGTGTGTGTGTGTGTGTACATGTGTGGATGCCTAGCAGGTGTGGAATATAACATAGTTTGATAGTTTGGCAGGGGGAACAGTTAGTGCATTATTCTCAGGGGGGTCCAGGCAGTCAGCTTAAAAGGCTGTTGTTCGGCTGAAAGGGCTTTAAAAGGCTGTTGGTCGGCTAAAAGGGCTTTAAAAGGCTGTTGGTCGGCTGAAAGGGCTTTAAAAGGCTGTTGGTCGGCTAAAAGGGCTTTAAAAGGCTGTTGGTCGGCTGAAAGGGCTTTAAAAGGCTGTTGGTCGGCTAAAAGGGCTTCAAATGGGTTTTGCTGCTATTAATGAAAGTTGAAGAATTGGAGAGTTCCGTTTTCTGTGCACACAGCAAATAGTCCCACACCAATTTAAGACACCATTATCTGACCTATTGGATTGTTGCTGTCAACTCAATCCACAGTCTCATCATAAATCTGAAAACAAAAAGAGATCCATGTATTAGGAAAACTGTGTGTGTGTGTGTATACATGCATTTCCATGTTTCATATTTGCTCCCTCACTGAAGTGGTGTTTAATTTCAGCATTTTCTGTTTGTTTTGTGGCATGAGTTTGCTTAGAGATTACAGAGAGTGTTGGACGGAACAGTCTGCCAAGCAATGTGCTGGCAGTATGAGAGAGAGAGAGAGAGAGAGAGAGAGAGAGAGAGAGAGAGAGAGAGAGAGAGAGCAAGAGAGAGAGAGACCGAGAGAGAGCTGGGAAAGATGAACCTGATTTCATGATGTGCATGATGAAACGATTGGTAAGCCATGTTCCTTTGACTCAAATGGTCCTCTCAGGTCTTCTAACTAACTCCTTAGAAAACAATCGAATCTGGGCCGTAGAATAGTGTTGATCCAGCGATGCCACATCTTCATTTGGAATAGAATAGAATCACGTCATTTCACCAAAAAATTAATCTATTTAATGACGTTAAATCAACGGGGAAAACTTCAGATTTTTTTCACACAACTTTGAACCAAAATCCAAAACATGGTTCAAGTTTTTGTTGCTTTCATGCTGAATTCATGTTAGTTGACAACTCAATAAAATGTAAATCAAAACTAGATATTGAACTGATGTCTGTGCCCAGAAGGGATATGTCATAGACACTTTGTTCAGTACACATCAACATGTTTCTAGGCCAGTGTTTTAATGAGACATATTTAGGTGCCAACAATATCTAACTGCTAGCGCCTTTCATTGATAGATGTACTTGATGAAAAGATGTTGACTTCTGTCTGACCTCTGACCTCTGACTTTCCTTCACCACAGCTGTGGGAGACCGTACATAAAGCTGAGCCATGGGGAGGGATCCATGGACAAAGGGGACAGGATACATCGGACAGGTACAACCGTCCTCTGACTAAGCTTCTCTTCTCTGCCAGTGCTACCTTTCCCTTCCACACCACTACCGTTCTCTAACTATTGAGCCAAGCCAAGCTGTACTCACACCCTCTTCTGTCCACCGGTTTTGCACACCTTCGTCTACCGATTAGCTTCACATCTCTTCCAGTGCTGCCTTTCCTCCCACATCATTGAGCCAAGCTGTCCTGTACTGGCGCTGTCCTGGTCATGCATCCACCACAGGAGCTAGGGCTAGCTGCTAGAGAGGACCATGATTGTCCCAGAGTGGATTTTATACGGTGTGTGCTGTGTAGCAGTGCTGAATGCTTTGCAGCAGTGTTTAATGCTTTGTAGCAGTGTTTAATGCTTTGTAGCAGTGCTGAATGCTTTGTAGCAGTGCTGAATGCTTTGTAGCAGTGCTGAATGCTTTGTAGCAGTGTTTAATGCTTTGTAGCAGTGTTGAATGCTTTGTAGCAGTGTTGAATGCTTTGTAGCAGTGCTGAATGCTTTGCAGCAGTGCTGGAGGCTTTGCAGCAGTGTTGAAGGCTTTGTAGCAGTGTTGAAGGCTTTGCAGCAGTGCTGAAGGCTTTGCAGCAGTGTTGAAGGCTTTGTAGCAGTGTTGAAGGCTTTGTAGCAGTGTTGAAGGCTTTGTAGCAGTGTTGAAGGCTTTGCAGCAGTGTTGAATGCATTGCAGCAGTGTTGAAGGCTTTGTAGCAGTGTGGAATGCTTTGCAGCAGTGTTGAATGCTTTGCAGCAGTGCTGAAGGCTTTGCAGCAGTGTTGAATGCTTTGCAGCAGTGCTGAATGCTTTGCTGCAGTGCTGAATGCTTTGCAGCAGTGCTGAAGGCTTTGCAGCAGTGTTGAATGCTTTGTAGCAGTGCTGAATGCTGTGCAGCAGTGCTGAAGGCTTTGCAGCAGTGTTGAAGGCTTTGCAGCAGTGTTGAAGGCTTTGCAGCAGTGCTGAATGCTTTGTAGCAGTGCTGAATGCTTTGCAGCAGTGCTGAATGCTTTGCAGCAGTGTTGAAGGCTTTGTAGCAGTGCTGAATGCTTTGTAGCAGTGCTGAATGCTTTGTAGCAGTGCTGAATGCTTGTAGCAGTGCTGAATGCTTTGTAGCAGTATTGAATGCTTTGTAGCAGTGTTGAATGCTTTGTAGCAGTGCTGAATGCTTTGTAGCAGTGTTGAATGCTTTGTAGCAGTGTTGAAGGCTTTGTAGCAGTGTTGAAGGCTTTGTAGCAGTGTTGAAGGCTTTGTAGTAGTGTTGAATTATTTGCAGCAGTGCTGAATGCTTTGTAGCAGTGCTGAATGCTGTGTAGCAGTGCTGAAGGCTTTGTAGCAGTGCTGAATGCTTTGTAGCAGTGTTGAAGGCTTTGTAGCAGTGCTGAATTATTTGTAGTAGTGTTGAATTATTTGCAGCAGTGCTGAATGCTTTGTGGGAATCCCATCTCCATGGTGAGACAATGACCATAGGAGTTATTTGGGAAGACAGCACTAGCAGATCTGATACCAGGCTGATCTTGCCTCACAATAGAGAGGTGTGATTTGTTTTGCAGTAGTGTTGAACCCCCAATCCATAAGACTCCTGAACAGCTAATCAAATGGCTACCCAGACATATTGCTACCCCCCCCCCACCCCCTATTTTACGCTGCTGCTACTCTCTGTTTATTATCTATGCATAATCACTTTAACTCTACCTTCATGTACATATTAACTCAGTTACCTCGACTAACCTGTGTTAGTATGTACCGGTACCCTCTGTATATAGCCTCCCTACTGTTATTTTATTTTACTGCTGCTCTTTAATTATTTGTTATTTTTCTATTTTTCTTATTTTTTTATTTTTACTTATAAATGTTTTACTTAACACATATTTTTCTTAAAACTGCATTGTTGGTTAAGGGCTTGTAAGTAAGCATTTCACTGTAAGGTCTACACCTGTTGTATTCGGCGCGTGTGACAAATACAATTTGATTTGATTTGATTTGAAGGTGTTGACCATTACAGTAACGCTCTCTCTGTACCCAAATCAGAGGATCAGGTGGTGGCATCGTCAGACTACGACGGCACCCACGAGGCCAACCACAGCGACAGCAGCGACGTAGCGGCGACAGAGGAGGGGGACGCAGAGGGGGGCAAAAACACCCCCCAAAACCTGATCATGCTGCCTCCAGAGGTGAGAAACAGCCGCAGCAACCGCAGAGGTAGCTCTAGTTTCCTGTTTCACAGCTCTAAGGTCTTTTGCCTTTTAGGTCAAGGGGTATTCAACTCTGACCCTACGAGGTCCGGAATAACTGCTGGTTTTCTGTTCTACCTGATCATTAATTGCACCCACCTGGTGTCCCAGTTGTTAATCAGTCCACGATTAGAGGGGAACAATGATCAAATACAGTGGAACTGGCTGTCTAGATTTTGATTTTTCGGGTTATTATTGGCTTACTTTGTTCAACCTCATCAAGCAGAGGTACAACCACCAACATAACACGTCCAGTGGTCCTCAGAGTGTTCAGTGCACAGATTGGCACCACCAGCCATCTATGTTGTTTTATGATCTACAGTAGAGAGACATAACATTTTGTAAGACATTTAATAAGACAATATAAAGGTTCATAAAGATATTATAAAAGGCTTATAACGTGTCTATGGCCTCCGCAGGAAAAGCCCCAGCTGGCCCCGGAGCCGTTAGTGATGGAGGACTTGGAGCCCCTGATGGGCCAGCTCAACAACTGGAACTTCCCCATCTTCAGCTTGGTGGAGAAGACCCAGGGCAAATGTGGCCGCATCCTCAGCCAGGTGAGACCAGCTACTGTACAGCCTAGTCAGGTGAGCTGTAGCCAGGTGAGGACAGGTTAGAATAGTTCATCTTCAGCCAGGGCAAGGGTGGACACATCCTCAACCAGGTGAGAGAAACAACCAATCAGACAGGCTGATGGTCAACCATCTACCAGCCCATTGGCCTGTCACTGTGTCAATCGATGAGTGTCTGTCAGGTGAGAATCCGATTGGTTGTTTGAGACAGAAGCGGTAACCTCGAGGTTAGAGAATTGGACGGTAACTGGAGGGTTGCCGGTTCGAACGCCCGAGCTTCCTGCGGGGAAATCTACCCTTAGGGTTTCAGGGGCGCTGCTCTGCTGCAGCCCCTGTGTTTGCTCCCAGCCTGTGATGTGTTGTGTGTCAGGTTGGGTACTATCACAGAAAACATTTTGAATATCCGTACAATTTAAGAAAGTATTGATACGTCTATGAGAATGAGGCCGTCTCTAAACCCATAGACCATTCAGAGTGTCAATCAAAGAGTCTGTCTGACAGGTGAGAATTTGATTGGTCGTGTGAGCTCTCTGACTCTCTGTGTTTTGTTTCAGGTCTCTCACAGGCTATTTGAAGACACAGGCCTATTTGAGACCTTCAAGATCCCGGTCCAAGAATTCATGAACTACTTCCATGCTCTGGAGAATGGCTACAGAGACATACCATGTAAGAACCCACCTTACCTAAATTACCCTGCTCTCTTAATAGGGCCGGTTTTGCAGACACAGATTAAGCAAAGTATTGAACCAAAAAGCATATTCAATGGAAAATCACAGTTGAGAGTACATTTTAGTCCAGGACTAGACCTAATCTGTGCCCGGGATATTGGCCCTTAATGTTTTGTGTATGTTTTGTTTATTATATTGAAGTTGAGTTAAAAGTATAATATCAGCAGTAAACCACAAGAGGGCGATGTTACACCATATTTCTTTCCACTCTCCATTCACACAAGTTTACGGTACTGTCTCTCCATTCATTTTTACCCCACACTAGAAACATAAACAGTGTGCCCTAGTGGATATTATCACTACTGAAATGTCTCATATTCTCTCCCTTTCACTCTCTAGTCTTGGTAAATATATTGAATTGCACCAATAAAGGTTGTTTTTTAAGTCAATCAATCAATCAATCCAGATCACAACAGAATCCATGCTACAGACGTGCTCCATGCAGTCTGGTACCTCACCACCCAGGCCGTGCCAGGTCTGCCCAGCCTCGTCACCGACCATTGCTCTGCAAGCGACTCAGGTGGGTACCAGGGTTTAATTGAATGCAGGCTGAATTTTATCATAATGACACTTCTTGCTCTTGCTTGATTTGGCATCAGGAGATTGAAAAGCATTATTTATTGAGAACTAGAATTTCGACATGTTTGGGACTGTATTAGAAGACGACCAACAGTTTTTTTTTCTCAATAAAATGCTGTTTTGAACGTAACATCATTATGTTAGTTATGGTTGTCAACTTGAGGAAGATCGAGATTTTATACAAATCGAAGAGACTTAAGAGTCAAGTATATTTATTAACAAATTGCTATATCAAGACGCTTAATAGAATTTGTAACAATCAGATTAACTTTTGCCATTCATTTAACCAAGCCTATACCTCCACCTCTCATTACTCTTTGTAAGTCATCTCATTAAGAACAACACATTGGAATGTTTGTTACAGTTACATCAATGGTCTCAGACTGGGGGCTCAGCTTCTGTCCTGCGTCCCAAATGCCCCCAAATGGCACCCTATTCCCTATATAGTGCACTACTTTTGACCAAGGCCCAGGGCTCTAGTCAAAACTAGTGCACTTTAAAGGGAATAGGGTGCCATTTGGGACGCCGTCTCTGTGTACCAAATACTATTTGAAGTTTAGCGATGCATGAGCGGGCATGAAATTGCAACCAGATTAAAGTTCTCCCAACCCCTGATTTTCATAACCTAATTTATATGCCTTAGTGCACCAACTCTTTGATCCGAGCATAAGTGGATTTAGAGGTTGAGATTTTGGGGCCTTTGAGGGTGCTGGCTGGTACACTTTTCACCCTACTGAGCCAAACCGTGCTGAGCTGTACTGCACTGGCCTGGTTACGCATTCACCATAGTGTCTGGAAATGTGCTGGAAAGGACAATGTGAAAAGAAACTACCTGAACCGTTGCAGTGTGGTTCAGGTTGGAACAATGGTGTGAATCAGAATGCTACTCACACTCCGCTCCTCTCTCTCTCTCTCTCTCTCTCTCTCCCTATCTCTCGCTCTCTTTCCCCTCGGCTCTCCCAGACTCTGACAGCGGCATCACACACAGTCACATGGGCTACCTGGTGTCGAAGACCTACAGTGTGTCGGAGGACGGGTATGGCTGCCTGTCGGGGCTCATCCCCGCCCTGGAGCTCATGGCGCTGTACGTGGCAGCAGCCATGCATGACTACGACCACCCTGGGAGGACCAACGCCTTCCTGGTGGCCACAAGCGCACCACAGGTACTCCTCCTCTCTGTCAAAGCCCTTCAGGCTCCTCAAGTGAACAACAAAACCCTCAGAGTCATACGTTGAACTGTTGTCTGCAGGGAGAGCAGATATTTTATTTCAGGGATAAGGAAAGTAGTGGTACAACACTGAAAATAACTTGGATTGCTGTTGTTATGTGTTGTGGAACAGCATGGGCAGTCCTCTGACCAGGTTAGAATTTAGTTAAATGTGTCTGGTTACCACCTCAGCACTAATTCTCTCGCACCCTATCTTCCCCTCTCCAGGCAGTGTTGTATAACGACAGGTCGGTGCTCGAGAACCACCACGCTGCCTCGGCCTGGAACCTGTTCATGTCCCGTCCAGAGTATAACTTCCTGGTCAACCTGGACCACGTGGAGTTCAAACGCTTCCGCTTTCTGGTCATAGAGGCCATCCTTGCCACCGACCTCAAGAAACACTTTGACTTCCTGGCAGAGTTCAATGCCAAGGTAAAACCAATTTCAATCAATTCATTAATTAAAACGAATAATCTTTGGAGTGTTCACAGACCGTAAACCTGTGTTTTTGATTTGAGTCTAAGATCTCTTCAGCTATGTTACATACATACACATTACATACATGTTGTATGTGAGAGTTCTGCTGCCTACCCCTGGTTTTTGTGGTGCAGGTTTGCACTGCAGATTCAACGAGCCCTCATTACAGCTCACTCTCTGTCCACGTTGGTCTGTTACACTATCGCAATAGCATGGAGTCAAACCTAAGTGTTCTAGAAAATCAGTTAGATGTTGTTTTAAAAGGCTTTTGAGGAACAGTATCCAGTGTGCCAGTACATTTCTGGACCTTAAATATCCTCATCATATTCTCATTACATCTCTTAACTAACCCATAAGAATAGAAGGCTCTAACCCGCAGCTTTTCAGGAAATCCTATTTGCAGTCTGTATTCTGCAGCTAACATTGATGGGGACTGAGCCTTTCCACTGTGCTGTACTAAAGCCTTTCCACTGTGCTGTACTAAAGCCTTTCCACTGTGCTGTACTAAGCTTACTAAAGCCTTTCCACTGTGCTGTACTAAAGCCTTTCAATCTGTGGTGTACTAACTCCAACGTGACTGCACTAAGCTTTTCCATGTTGCTGCCTAAGTCCTTCCACTGTGTTACTAAACCTTCATACTGTGCTGTACTGAAGCTTCACTGGCTGTACAAGCCTGTTCCACTGTGCGTGTACAAAGCCTTTGCACTGGCTGATCAAAGCCCTTCCAGTTACAAAGCTTCCCTTCTGTCACTAAAGCTTTCCACTGTGCTGCACTAGCCATTCCACTGTGTCTGCACTAAAGCTTTCCACTGTGCTTTTAAAAGCTTTCCTGTGCTGCACTAAAGCCTTCCACGTGTGTACCTAAGCCTTTCCACTGGCTGTAACTAAAGCCTATTCCACTGTCTGTACTAAAGCCTTCCACTGGGTACTAAAGGCTCACTGTGCTTAAGCCTTTCCACTCTGTTGCACGAAACCTTTGCACTGTCTGTATAAGCTTTCCACTGTGCTAGACTAAAGCTTCCACTGTGGTACTAAGCCTTTCCACTGTGCTGTACTAAAGCCTTTCCACTGTGCTGTACTAAAGCCTTTCCACTGTGCTGACTAAAGCCTTTCCACTGCTCATAAGCTTCCACTGTGCTGTACTAAAGCCTTTCCACTGTGCTGTACTAAAGCCTTTCCACTGTGCTGTACTAAAGCCTTTCCACTGTGCTGCACTAAAGCCTTTCCACTGTGCTGTACTAAAGCCTTTCCACTGTGCTGTACTAAAGCCTTTCCACTGTGCTGTACTAAAGCCTTTCCACTGTGCTGTACTAAAGCCTTTCCACTGTGCTGTACTAAAGCCTTTCCACTGTGCTGTACTAAAGCCTTTCCACTGTGCTGACTAAAGCCTTTCCACTGTGCTGCACTAAAGCCTTTCCACTGTGCTGTACTAAAGCCTTTCCACTGTGCTGTACTAAAGCCTTTCCATGTGCTGTACTAAAGCCTTTCCACTGTGCTGTACTAAAGCCTTTCCACTGTGCTGTACTAAAGCCTTTCCACTGTGCTGTACTAAAGCCTTTCCACTGTGCTGTACTAAAGCCTTTCCACTGTGCTGTACTAAAGCTGGTGATAGTTAGGCACTGCCAGTTATACAACGGATTGCTGGCCTGCCACTAACGCCAGCAGTGTTATGCCCATTCAGTGTGTGTGTGTGTGTGTGTGTGTGTGTGTGTGTGTGTGTGTGTGTGTGTGTGTGTGTGTGTGTGTGTGTGTGTGTGTGTGTGTGTGTGTGTGTGTGTGTGTGTGTGTAACCTAGAGGTTATTGAGTTAGCATGATAAGAAGCTAACAGGAGTCTTTTCTGTTCTCCTGGGTCTCCAACACTCATTAGGCCTACCTAGACATAACCAATACATTCAAAAAAGAAAAGGGTTTTGGAGAAGATAATTAATCAACTTAATTGTTCATTTTAAAAGGTCAAAATCATTTAGGCAATTTCACAGCACAGAACAGATACACTACTGTTCAAAAGTTTGGGGTCAATTGGAAATGTCCTTGTTTTCGAAAGAAAAGCAATTTTTTTGTCCATTAAAATAACATTAAATTGATCAGAAATACAGTGTAGACATTGTTAATGTTGTAAATGGCTATTGTAGCTGGAAACTGCAAATGTTTAATGGAATATCTACATAGGCGTACAGAGGCCCATTATCAGTAACCATCAGTCCAGAGTTCCAATGGCACGTTATGTTTGCTAATCCAAGTTTTTTATTTTAAAAGGCTAATTGATCATTAGAAAACCCTTTTCGCAATTCTGTTAGCACAGCTGAAAACTGTTGTGCTGATTAAAGAGGCAATAAAACTGGCCTTCTTGAGACTAGTTAAGTATCTGGAGCATCAGCAATTGTGGGTTCGATTACAGGCTCAAAATGGCCAGAAACAAATAACTTTCTTCTGAAACTCGTCAGTCTATTCTTGTTCTGAGAAATTAAGGCTATTCTATGCGAGAAATTGCCAAGAAACTGAAGATCTCGTACGACGCTGTGTACTACTCCCTTCACAGAACAGCGCAAACTGGCTCTAACCAGAATAGAAAGAGGAGTGGGAGGCCCCGGTGCACAACTGAGCAAAAGGACAAATACATTAGAATGTCTAGTTTGAGAAACAGGCGCCTCACAGGTCCTCAACTGGCAGCATTAAATCGTACCCGCAAAACACCAGTCTCAACGTCAACAGTGAAGAGGCGACTCCGGGATGCTGACCTTCTAGGCAGAGTTGCAAAGAGAAAGCCATATCTCAGACTGCCCATCTTAATCTTTTCTTTTTATTGGCCAGTCTGAGATATGGCTTCTTGTTTCTCAAACTAGACACTAATGTATAATAGGGCCTCTGTACGCCTATGTAAATATTCCATAAAAAATCAGCAGTTTCCAGCTACAATAGCCATTTACAACATTAACAATGTCTACACTGTATTTCTGATCAATTTGATGTTATTTTAATGGACAAAACATTTGCTTTTCTTTCAAAAACAAGGACATTTCTAAGTGACCCCAAACTTTTTGATGGTTGTGTAGTTCCCGTGTAGCTCAGTTGGTAGAGCATGGCGCTTGCCAGGGTTGTGAGTTCGATTCCCACGGGGGGGCCAGTATGAAAATGTATGTACTCTGGATAAGACCGTCTGCTAAATGACTAAAATGTAGTGTACATATTGAAAGGTGGGGATTAAAGGCAGAGTCCAAAATAGGGAACGTTGGAGCCATGTAATTCTTAATCAGGAATTCAATTTAAATTTTACATTCTTCGTTAAATGACAACTGATTTACCATGTTATTGAACTGCGTGTATATCTTTTTTTTCAGATGTGTGATAGATTCAAGGTATTGTACGTCCCCTGCTGGTACCATATAAGTTCACAAAGCATTTTATAAAGCAACATATTTTGTCTCTGTCTGTTACTATAGGTAGGTGATGACGTCACAAGGGGTATTGATTGGTCCAATGAGAACGACAGACTGCTGGTGTGTCAGATGTGCATCAAGCTAGCTGACATCACCGGCCCACTGAAACACAAGGACCTGCACCTACAGTGGACCAAGGGCATCGTCGATGAGTTCTATGAACAGGTCAGATTCTCTCTCTATCTCACACACACAGAAACACAAGGACCTGCATCTACAGTGGATTGAGGGCATCGCCCAATGAGTTCTATGAACAGGTGAGATCCAAATCAAACCCTAGCCCTACCCCTACCCCTACACCTACCCCTAGCCCCTACCCTAGCACCTAACTAGCCCCTACACCCCTACACCCTAGCCCTACCCTAGCAACCCTAGCCCTACACTCCCTAGCCCTACACCCTAGCCCTACACCCTAGCTACAACCCTACCCTACCACCCTATACACCCTAGCCCCTACAAATAGCCCCTAACCCTAGCCCCTACACCCTACACCTAGCCCCTACCCCTAGCACCTACACCCTAGCCCCTACATACACCTACCCCTACCCTAGCCCCTACAACCCTACCCCCGCTACACTCTAGCCCCTACACCCTAGCCCCTACACCCTAGCCCCTACTATGCCCTACACCCTAGCCCCTACACCCTAGCCCCTAACACCTAGCCCCTACTCACTCTAGCCCCTACACTCTAGCCCCTACACCCTAGCCCCTACACCCTAGCCCCTACACCTAGCCCCTACACCCTAGCCCTACACCTCTAGCCCCTCCCAACCCAGCCCCTACACCCTAGCCCCTACCAACCCTAGCCCCTACACCCTAGCCCTTACACCTCTAGCCCCTACTCCTAGCCCTACACCTTAGCCCCTACACCCTGCCCCTACACCCTAGCCCCTACACCCTAGCCCCTTACCCTCTAGCCCATACACCAAAGCCCCTACACCCTAGCCCTTACACCCTAGCCCCTACACCCTAGCCCCTACACCCTAGCCCCTACACTCTAGCCCCTACACCCTAGCCCCTACACCCTAGCCCCTACACTCTAGCCCGTACACCCTAGCCCCTACACCCTAGCCCTACACCCTAGCCCCTTCACCCTACCCCATACACTCTAACCCCTACACCCTAGCCCTTACACCCTAGCCCCTACATTCTAGCCTCTACACCCTAGCCCTTACACCCTAGCCCCTTCACCCTACCCCATGCACCCTAGACCCTAAACCCTAGCCCATGCAGATCTGAAACACACACTGAGTGTACAAAGCATTAGGAACACCTGCTCTTTCCATGACATAGACTGACCAGGTGAATCCAGGTGAAAGCTATGATCCCTTATTGATGTCACTTGTTAAATCCACTTCAATCAGTGTAGATGACGGGGAGGAGACAGGTTAAAGAAGGATTTTTAATATCAACTCAATATTAGGAATGTGTTCATAATGTTTTGTACACTCTGTGTATGTAAGGAGCAGGTATGAACAGGTGAAATTAATAGTCAGTGTGTGTGTGTGTTTTTTCCTTCCAGTTTCTCATTTTCAGGTCACACACATACACACTCACACACTCACACATACACACACACATACACACACACATACACATGTGGGAGTAAAATATGTGACGTGCTTTCAATCCCGAGGCGATGGTTTGGATTCACCATGATAGCACACGTGACACATATGACACCCATAGACAATCAGATTCTATTTATTTATGTATGTTCAAACTGCGTGATGACTTCATGTGTGTTCTGTGTGACAGGAGGACATACAGTGGGGGAAAAAAGTATTTAGTCAGCCACCAATTGTGCAAGTTCTCCCACTTAAAAAGATGAGAGAGGCCTGTAAATGACAAAATGAGAAAATAAAATCCAGAAAATCACATTGTAGGATTTTTAATGAATTTATTTGCAAATTATGGTGGAAAATAAGTATTTGGTCACCTACAAACAAGCAAGATTTCTGGCTCTCACAGACCTGTAACTTCTTCTTTAAGAGGCTCCTCTGTCCTCCACTCGTTACCTGTATTAATGGCACCTGTTTGAACTTGTTATCAGTATAAAAGACACCTGTCCACAACCTCAAACAGTCACACTCCAAACTCCACTATGGCCAAGACCAAAGAGCTGTCAAAGGACACCAGAAACAAAATTGCAGACCTGCACCAGGCTGGGAAGACTGAATCTGCAATAGGTAAGCAGCTTGGTTTGAAGAAATCAACTGTGGGAGCAATTATTAGGAAATGGAAGACATACAAGACCACTGATAATCTCCCTCGATCTGGGGCTCCACGCAAGATCTCACCCCGTGGGGTCAAAATGATCAACAGAACGGTGAGCAAAAATCCCAGAACCACACGGGGGGACCTAGTGAATGACCTGCAGAGAGCTGGGACCAAATTAACAAAGCCTACCATCAGTAACACACTACGCCGCCAGGGACTCAAATCCTGCAGTGCCAGACGTGTCCCCCTGCTTAAGCCAGTACATGTCCAGGCCCGTCTGAAGTTTGCTAGAGTGCATTTGGATGATCCAGAAGAGGATTGGGAGAATGTCGTATGGTCAGATGAAACCAAAATAGAACTTTTTGGTAAAAACTCAACTCGTCGTGTTTGGAGGACAAAGAATGCTGAGTTGCATCCAAAGAACACCATACCTACTGTGAAGCATGGGGGTGGAAACATCATGCTTTGGGGCTGTTTTTCTGCAAAGGGACCAGGACGACTGATCTGTGTAAAGGAAAGAATGAATGGGGCCATGTATCGTGAGATTTTGAGTGAAAACCTCCTTCCATCAGCAAGGGCATTGAAGATGAAACGTGGCTGGGTCTTTCAGCATGACAATGATCACAAACACACCGCCCGGGCAACGAAGGAGTGGCTTCGTAAGAAGCATTTCAAGGTCCTGGAGTGGCCTAGCCAGTCTCCAGATCTCAAACCCATAGAAAATCTTTGGAGGGAGTTGAAAGTCGGTGTTGCCCAGCGACAGCCCCAACACATCACTGCTCTAGAGGAGATTAGGAGACTTACAGAAAACGTTTGACCTGTGTCATTGCCAACAAAGGGTATATAACAAAGTATTGAGAAACTTTTGTTATTGACCAAATACTTATTTTCCACCATAATTTGCAAATAAATTCATAAAAAATCCTACTATGTGATTTTCTGGATTTTTTTTCTCATTTTGTCTGTCATAGTTGACGTGTACCTATGATGAAAATTACAGGCCTCTCTCATCTTTTTAAGTGGGAGAACTTGCACAATTGGTGGCTGACTAAATACTTTTTTTCCCCACTGTATGACGACATATGACATATGTTGCACGACTGAAATTCTCTGATAAGGAATATGCATCAGTTCTTCTGCCATGGCCAATCACTTTTATGCCAATTATTTATATTTACGGCAATAGGAAATAGGACACCAGATATGCCAAGCCTCCTTCATAGTGTAGAAGAACAGTGTGTACTCCAGAAGCCTTCAGTGACAATGACCCCAATGATGGATAGGATTGAATATGGTGATGATGACGCTGTTGGGTTGCCAGGCAACCGGCTCTCCCATTCAGGTGGAGGAGCAGCAGTGATTACACAGACAGGCAGGCAGACAGACAGACAGGCAGGCAGGCAGGCAGACAGACAGACAGACAGACAGGCAGGCAGACAGGCAGGCAGGCAGGCAGACATGCAGGCAGGCAGGCAGGCAGACAGACAGACAGACAGGCAGGCAGGCAGGCAGGCAGGCAGACAGGCAGGCAGGCAGGCAGGCAGGCAGGCAGACATGCAGACAGACAGACAGACAGACAGACAGACAGACAGACAGACAACGGCTTTGGAGCCAATGTGTGGGGTGTTCTGTCGCAAGCCTGTGACACACACACACACACACACACACACACACACACACACACACATGCATGTCCACCACAGAAAATGTTTTCTTAGTATTCCAAATGTACAATTGAGAAAGAACCAGTGATGACTGACTATGTGGGTTGCTTGCTTCTTCCTCCATCTTCTAACTGCCATCCCAGTCACCTGCCCCACTGTCCACAGTACCTCTCAGTGACTACAACCAACAAGCCAGACAATCCTAGGGGGGGGGGGGGGGGGGGGGGGGGGGGGGGGGGGGGTGTTTGGGGTGCAGCAGGAGACTCTTGAGAGAGAAGGAAACAATCTAAACCCATGTAAATCCCATCTAATCACAGACCCCCCCCCCCCCCCCATTTTTCATACCTTTTTTTCCTCTTTGTGCCTTTAGATGAAAATAGCTCCTGCCTGGTGGATACATGAACACACTCTATAGTTTAGTACTCTGATGGCGTGGTTGCTGACACTCACAAGGCCTGTTTCCATGGCAACCGGGAGACCTTGCTGTGTGGTTGTTGGCCATTTACATCTGGTCCTAGACGGCACGCATTGCTCTGTAAAGTCCACAGTGTGTCACTGAGGAAGATATGAGATGGACTAGCCTGTGTGTTGTGTAACTAGCATATTTATTTTCACATAATGTGAAACTGTGGAGATTTAAAATATTTGATTTATACGCCTATACTGTCTGGTGTTCACCCATAAAATTATTTTTTCATGCAATGTTTATAAAAAATATGTTCATTCAATAGAGGATTGCAATAGAAAATCAATAGTCCAAACCCTATGTCTCTACCATATATGGTTAAAAAATACAGACAATTTAATCCAGGCTCTGTCGCAGCCGGCCGCGACCGGGAGACCCATGGGGCGGTGCACAATTGGCCCAGCGTCGTCCAGGGTAGGGGAGGGAATGGCCGGCAGGGATGGAGCTCAGTTGATAGAGCATGGCGTTTGCAACGCCAGGGTTGTGGGTTCAATTCCCACGGGGGGCCAGTATAAAAAAAATATGTATTCACTAACTGTAAATCGCTCTGGATTAGAGCGTCTGCTAAATGACTCAAATGTAAATGTAAATGTAATAATTTAGCATTATTAGAGTGAATAGAATGTCATTATTGCCACGGTCAAAAAGTGGTCGCTGCTCAATAGAACTCTGTCACTGCTCCGAGGGCGAAACGGCGCTAACTTCGAACGTCAACTGACAAGCTAACAAGCAGCTTTGTGTGTGATAACACATGCTATTTCTAAATGAAATCCGCTTTGTACAAAATAAAATTGGGCTATATATTCATTTACAAAGCTAACAGACTGAATTTCAATATCGAACTTCCCTGAAGGCAATAGGTGTGTTCGAGCGGTAAGCCTAACGAAGCCGACTGTAGACGAAGGTCGGCGAGTGAAGTCAGGGGAGGTGCATCTCTGATCGCCGAAAGTCGGACACGGTAGTGGTCTCAGATCAACATGGCAGTGTCAACATAGCTGCAATTGTTTATAAAAGTTTTTCTGTATAAATGTTGAAATAAACATTCTATATCCCCATATCATACACTAACAAACTGAAAACATAACGTGTGTTAATTGGTTAATTAATTGGTTAGAGAGAGGTCTCAAATGTCACTTTCATTTGTATCCCCTTCAGCTTTAGAATCGCTGCAAAGTTCCGGTTTCAGTCACGTTTTCAAACCAAAACACCCTAATGATTGGTTGACAAAGGTGCCTCCCACAATGCAGGTGATGGTGAGGAGCAGCTGCAGCGACTTGAAGGCAACTTCATCAAAAGCTGCATGACCTTTGATCACATGATTTTTGTAAAGTTCATGCAGTTGACGTGTTGAAATTTGAAAATTTTATAACCATAATTTTTACATTTTAGTCATTTAGCAGACGCTCTTATCCAGAGCGACTTACAGTTAGTGAGTGCATACATTTTCATAATGCAACACACTTTGAAAGGCGGTGACCAACGACTTGACAAACATGATCCGCTCGACACGCTCAAGTTTCATGGTGTATTTCGGAGTGTCCCCTTTAAATCACCATAGAAACAGCCCCTCTCAAGGTTGATTGACAGGGGTGAGAGGAATCAAAAGCCACGGATCTGGAGATAAACATGACGAAGGTATCGAGTTGATTTTGATTGGTCCAAAGCACGGAAACACCTCCAAATGTTACCAACTCCCAACACCAAAAAATAGAAGAGATACAACCAAGAGCAGCGGTCACAACAAATGAACGTTCTTATTTAAAGTAACTGCCCAGTATTTCCAGAGGTAATTAAGTATGTTATGAAGCAGATTTTCTGTGTTGGAAGGGTGTGGGCGTATTCTGGTCATTAAAACATATTGGTGATGATGACATTATGTTCTATGAGGAAATAGCAAGTCTTTTATATAAACAGTCTGTTTGAGAAAGGTTTTTTAAAGTGTTTTTTTCTCCAATTTATGCTTTGGCCACAAATACTAGTATAGGACAAGTCAACATTATTTGGATATGAGTTAACAGAATATTAACTTTTAAAAGTAATATTTTCACTGGGCAGTTAATGTAATCAACACGGATAAAGATGCAGTAAGTCATGTCAGAAGCTAGCAGATACATTACTTACCAACAACAGCTGCAAATTACAACAAAACTACATCACGCTTTGAAGTTCACTTTCTGTGATTTGTCTAACAACACTATCATGAATCTAGCAAATATGTTTTGTGGGTCAGAGTGCAGTTTTTTTTTTTTTTTCATAGCACAATCTTTTGTTAGTACGTTTCTCACACTGGCTTTAGCCACGGAGCAGGGGGGTTGCCTAGCAACACATGCCTCGGAGGGAGACAATGTCTGCATTGCACGACAAATTCCTGTGATTTGTGAATCTGTTTGGACTGAACAGCTAGCGTGATTTCAGCTAATAGGGAGAATTATCTAACAAAATGACTACATTATGGCATATACTAATCATAAAATATTTACATATAATAGACATTTCGGGTACATTTGTGGACAAAATTCTTAATTACCCAACCTTTAAGTACAAGCATATGAAGGTTATAATATTGTAGAGGACAATGTAATTATTAATTGTATGTGATTCGAAATGACAGAAAACTACATTTAGACATTAATTTATTAGTACCCTCTTGAATGTATCCATATTTCGCTACATTCTAGAGCAGTGAGTGAATGCCTTATCGTGTGTAATCATCATTGATCACCCCACGTGACATGATGCTATCTGTAGCCTACAGATGTTAAATGGTTTTTTTTAATCTCTTGACTATAGAACCAAAAAACCTCCTAGCAACCATTTGTTGCGAGACAATAAAGTCCTCTGATTCTAAAAAGTGAACGTGTCATCACCTCTTCCACAGGGTGACGAGGAGTCCAGCCAGGGCCTTCCCATCAGCCCTTTCATGGACCGCTCTGCTCCCCAGCTGGCTAAGCTCCAGGAGTCCTTCATCACCCACATCGTAGGACCGCTCTGTAACTCATACGACTCCGCAGCACTCATGCCTGGACGTTGGGTGGAACCTAACCCCGAGGAGGAGGAAGAGGAGGAGCACGAGGAGGAGGAGGAGGAGGATACGACAGAGGATGAAGATGGGTCGACTAGCTCGGAGGCATCGCGTAAGATTGTTACTCACATCTGTTTCCTTTACTTTACTTGGTGTAGTTGACAGGGACAATGCACATTAATGTGCCAGATTTAGGCAGAAAGCTCATTTATGTGAATCAATGCATGAAAAGACAAGTGTATATTTCTTTCAAAACCCTTCTGTAGAGAAAGAGAAAGCAGCTCCCAAGAAGAGGAGGAAAGTGTTCTGTCAGATCACCCAGCACCTGATGGACAACCACGAGATGTGGAAGAAGGTGATCGCAGAGGAAACCCCCAAGCAAAACAATGTAGCTGAGCCAATCCTATCCATCCACGAGGAGGAGGAGGAGCCAGGGAGCAGGGAGGATGTAGTGGAGGAGGAGGAGCCAGAAGTGGAAGGGGAGGGGCCAGAGGAGGAAGTAGATGAGGAGTGGCCAGCGCCCCCGCAGGACGAGTCTGAACCTGCAGAAGAAGAGGCGTCGCCAGAGTGAGGGCCTCAAATGCTCATGGTGAGTGCTATTCGGAATCCTTGGGATGTTGCTACCCTAAATCCTAACCTTAACCCCTACCCTAACCATAACCATAACCATAACCCTTACCTTAACCAATTTAAATGTCAACTTAAATGGGGTAGGGATGTCCCAAGGATCCCAGATAGCAAGAACCAAAGGCTCATGGGAATGAAACAAGGCAGCCATTGGCCCGAGCCAGAACGTGAAATTACTTTTTCTATCCTATTGACAAACAGACTGACTGTTTATTATTTTTTTGTTGCCAGCACATTCACTTAGACACAACACTGTAGAAGTTTGGGAAATTGTGCCTAATGAAAATGTAACAGAGGGTGGGGGATATTTACTTGTGTTTTACACATTTTATATATAAAAACAAAGAATGGTCAGGTTCAGAAAACTCAGTCATCCGTCCTCTTGAGGAACTGTCCATTATTACAATATCCTACAGGATCATATACTGTACGTAACTAACTGGTATAAGAGATCACGAAACATACAGACTCTTTTTGCTACCGTCAAGAGTGGATCAAGACTTGGTCATGAAGACCTCAAACCCATTGTGTAAACAACGGACTGCAGAGACTGCTGCCAATTTATATATAAGAAATATTTTCTAAATGCAATTATACTTAAACATCACATTCACCTGTACTCACGTGTGTTTTGTTTAGGGGGGTATTTTAAGTATTTTGTCTGGGTCTGATAAGTCTCAGTAATATGGTTTTATTTTTACTATGTGGATTGAGAAGGGAAAGATTAGACTGACCAGCTCCCTACAAATCTACATTTTCCAGCTTATTAATGTTATTTAATTGATTCCATATTGCATCTCACACCTATACTCTGTAGCACACAACAGCAAGCATGCCCTCTAGCCATCTTTTAGTTTTTACTGAAAAACCGAAACGGTCGGTGTAGCCCCCCCACTTTAAGGCCCCTCGATGATCTATGACATCAGCAGAACCATCCGCAGGTAACATTGCTCATGTGATGTACTCCACTGAGCAGAACATGCTGACTTCAGTCCAGGGTCTTAGATTTGACCAACGGCTTGGTTCAGAGGAGGTTGGAACACGCTAAAGGTCAAGAAAGGAGTCAGAAAAGGATACGTTAGGATACTGTAGCTCCTATGAGTGTTTCTCTAATACACTGAAAAAAACAGGCTGTCTGCTAATGATGTAGTCCCATGACTATAAGGCACATGATAAGTTCCTCAACCTAACTCAAAAGATGGTCCTCTGTAGCTCAGCTGGTAGAGCACGGCGCTTGTAACGCCAGGGTAGTGGGTTCGACTGTAAGTCGCTTTGGATAAGAGCGTCTGCTAAGTGGGACATTATTATTATTATTATTATAAAGATAGGATTCTTCCGCTACTACCAGATCAACTGATTACGTAGAGTTATTTTATTTTGCCTTTATTTAACCAGGTAAGTCCTTGAGAACACATTCTCATTTACAACAATGACCTACAGATACACGGTAATACAGGAGCAAACACAAACACGCAGTATACAATCTCTAAGCCATACAAGGAGGAACCATTTACTGTGAGGTGATTTTTTTTTAGGGAGAGAGCAGAGTAGCACAAATGATCCTAGCATTGACAGCCAGCCTGCATCCTAATTTATTTTTTTATTTCTCAGTCATTTTAGCAGACGCTCTTATCCAGAGCGACTCACAGTTAGTGAGTTCAGACATTTTCATACTAAATGACACCCTATTCCCTTTGTAGAGCGAGCAGAGCTCTGGTCAAAAGTAGTGCACTATACAGGGAATAGGGTGCCATTTGGGACGTACCCCACTTCTTGACGCACATTGCAATGTTCTAGGAAACGCATGGACATCTGCCAGCAGTCAGATGTATAGACTATAGAACTATAGAGGTATACAACTGGCTTTGAACTATGTAGGTATACAACTGGCTTTGAACTATGGAGGTATACAACTGGCTTTGAACTATGGAGGTATACAACTGGCTTTGAACTATGGAGGTATACAACTGGCTTTGAACTATGGAGGTATACAACTGGCTTTGAACTATAGAGGTATACAACTGCTGAATATAGGTATCAACTGGCTTTGAACTATGAGGTATACAAATGGCTTTGACTATAGGTATCCATGGCTTTGACTCATGGACGTTATACACGGCCTTTGACTTATGAGGTATACACTGGCTTTGAACATAGGGATACACACATGCTTCACTATAAGTTACAACGCTTGACATAAGGTCATGACAAGGCTTTACTTAGGTGTACACTGGCTTTGAACACTATGAGTATACAACTGGCTTGACTATGGAGGTATACCTGGCTGATATAAGGTAATAAACTGGCTTTGAACTATAGGGTACAACTGGCTGTTGAATTGGAGTACAACTGGCTTTAGGACTACTGGAGGTATAACTGGCTTTGACTTAGGGTACAACTGGCTGACTAAGGTGAATAGACCTGTGCTTGACTATGGGGTAACCTGGTGACTATAAGGTGAAACTGCTTGAACTTGGGGCTACCTGGCTTGAAGTAAGATATAGCTGGCTTGACTATGGGGGTATAAACCATGGCTTTTAACTTAGGAGGTAACAACTGTGCGTTTCCTCTCTGCCTGTGGCAATATTCTCATGTCCCCTCCTAATCCACCTCGCCCCTCTCCTTCTATTAGCCTTCTATTAACATGCGAACACACAATGTTCCCACCGTGAATAACAGTACACACAACAGCTCAATGACAAGGCTCTTCTCTGTGTACTGCTGCCAAACCCTATACTATAAACACTGTGTATGCTTTAGTGGGCGACCTGGGTAAGGTGAATAGTAGCCTGTGCTTTAGGGGGCGACCTGGGTAAGGTGAATAGTAGCCTTGTGCTTTAGGGATGACCTGGAAGGTGAATAGTAACCTGTGCTTTAAGGGGTGCGAGGCGGTAAGGTGAATAGTAGCCTGTGCTTTAAGGGGAAGGACCTGGGTAAAGGTGGAATAGCAGCCTGGGCTTTTAGGGGGGGCCGACCTGGGTTAAGGTGCAAATAGTAGCCTGTGCTTTTCGGGGCGACCTGGGTAAGGGTGAATAGTAGCCTGTGCTTTAGGGGGCGACCTGGGTAAGGTGAATAGTAGCCTGTGCTTTTCGGGGCGACCTGGGTAAGGTGAATAGTAGCCTATGCTTTAGGGGGTGACCTGGGTAAGGTGAATAGTAGCCTGTGCTTCAGGGGGTGACCTGGGTAAGGTGAATAGTAGCCTGTGCTTAAGGGGGTGACCTGGGCAAGGTGTATAGTAGCCTGTGCTTTAGGGGATGACCTGGGTAAGGTGAATAGTAGCCTGTGCTTTAGGGGGTGACCTGGGTAAGGTGAATAGTAGCCTGTGCTTCTTGTACATTTTGGGTTCCTTCTCCTTTCATCCCAAATTTGACATCATTCTTTTACATGATCTTTCTCAATCAGGTTTTTATAATTCTTCCAATTGAAAATGGTAGATTATTGATATGATGACTTGTTTAGTGCGCTGCATAGATAGCATACTCTACAGTATATGGAAAAAGCTGTATAGTTGTATTGCTTATGAAAATGTTATGTATGCTATATAAAGCCTTTATAGGTTGTAAGTTGTAAGGGACCTTTTAAAATGTATTTTTGGATTGGAATCCAGGTTTATGTAGAGTTTAATCCACAGCCTTCCTGTAGCAAAATGCCCATGTTCAGATAGAAGGGACTTCCAATAACTTTCTAGTAACAGACACAAACATCGATCCATTCATGCTCCTCAGAGAAAAACGTCACACTGTATGCAACGCTTGGCTTCACCATAGATGCAGTAAAGAGGTCAATGGAATGCAGACCGTGGGGGACAGAAGGACGCTGGATTGGGGCACATTCAACAAATCTGATCCCACAAAGTGGATATTGGTCAAATTCGTCAGAATGTATTGTCACAGGCCCACAATGAGGTTACCAAAAGTCTGATTTGGATATCAAGTATTTGGTTGTTTTTGCTGCATAACGTTTAGAAGTTGTCCCTTTTCAGGATTAGAAAAAGTGACTGCTAAATGCTAACTCCCGTTTGTGTAAGCTGGTAGCATAGCTAGCATACAGAAATCGGTGGTGGTAGTCAATGTCGTTTTTAATTGTAATGCAGTTGATTGGTGATGATGACATGAACATGTTGACATCCATACAAGCATTATACTCCGATTTTTACCTCAACATCATGTTTAATATACACATATAAAGACTAGCCTAAATGCAGGCTAATTTTGCTTTGGGGTCAATGAGGAGATTCGGGATATTTCCCCCCTGGCATCTTTCCCCCCGCGCGTTTCCATGGCATTTCCATTGTTTTGGTCGAATTCCACTGACCTCTTTACCATCTATCCTTTCTATACGCTCTTTATAAAGTTGAACTGAATGACACTGTGTGAGCAACACAGGTTACCATTTACATGATATGATTCTGCATCACATTTATCACACGTAGCACAATATATATGGTTTAAGTCTTTATCACACATAGCATAACATATGGTCTCAGTCATTTTCTGTGATATCAAATGATGCTGTTGCCCACCACCTGTGAAATATGATAAGTAATATTCATTTATTTCAGAAAGTTCAAAAAGATTGGGAATGTTTTTGTGAAATAATATTAGTTATGGTAGAGCCCCATGTGTTTATATGATCATGTTATTAATTTAATTGGACATTCTAATTCCTGATGCATGATGGTCCACAGAACGATTGTTTAACGTGTGTGTGTGTGTGTGTAATAACTTTCCCCTCTGATCTCTTGTCAGTATGGCCTGCCAATCGGATGGACGCACACAAAACTACGAGACATTAAACATGTAAAAACTGTAGAGTTCAGTTTATTATTTTGAATAATGCGTCACATTTTGGCAACCTTGACACAGCTCATTTGGTTTTGCAATGGCACAGTGGTCACTGATCAGTCAATCTCCCTCCTATTTGTCCGACTGTCAGAGACTCCCACCTCACCTTTTGAGCGTAGCCTGGGAGCCAAGACTAGTTCCTAGTTCCTACCCCAATACCAAAATACCCATCTTTGAAAGTTCCAATGTGACATAGTACTCTTTTGTCTAAATTGATCTTTATTTGCCATAATTATTGGGGGGAAAAAACATGTATTATCCTTTACAATGAGAACCAAACAAGCTTTACAATCCTCTAAACTAGAAAATGAGACTTGTATTTTTATATACTGTAGTTGACACATGATGATGATTAAATGACTAATGGTTTTCTCTCGCCAGTACCTTGCACTTAACACATGTAGCAATACTTACACTTAATAAATAATACACAGTATTTGTTAAGTAAAACTTATTCATTTCCTTGCTGGTTGATGCTCAATTTTGTACAATATATATGCTGTACAGTAAAGAAATATTAAAACAAAACAAAAACTCTTTTAGATATACATTATTTATTTTTACCATTTTGTAATTTAGACACTATACTGTAGTTACTATATTGCCAGAATTACTGGAAGTGCCTATTGGTATTATGTGTATTATACAGTGAAATGTTTTGAGATCAGTAGAACTTGTCACAAGATGAACAATGTGGATGTTGTGATGTGAAATACATTGAATTACAATACTTTAATTTCTGTGATACTTGTGCCTCTGTGTATTTTTTCCTGCTTGAATATTCAAATATATACTGAACAAAAATATAAATGCTAACATGCAACAATTTCAAAGATTTTTTCTGTTACAGTTCAAATGAGGAATCAGTCAATTGAAATAAAATCATTAGGCCCTAATCTATTATTTTTACATGACTGGGAATACAGATATGCATCTGTTGGTGACAGATACCTTTAAAAAAAAAGGGCCTCACAGTTGGCCTCAGGATCTCGTTGCGGTATTTTTGTGCATTCAAATTGCCAATCGCTAAAATGCAACTGTGCCCCGCTGCCACCATGGGGCACTTTGTTCACAATGTTGACATCAGCAAACCGCTCACCCACACAACGCTATACACATGGTCTGCGGTTTGACGTACTGCCAAATTCTCTAAAACGAAGTTGGAGGCGGCTTATGGTAGAGAAATGAACAAACTCTCTACCAACAGCTCTGGTGGACATTCCTGCAGTCAGCGTGCCAATTGCAAGCGCCCTCAAAACTTGAGACATCTTTGGCATTGTGTTGTGTGACACAACTGCACATTTTAGAGTGGACTTTTATTGTCACCAGCACAAGGTGCACCTGTGTAATGATCATGCTGTTTAATCAGCTTCTTGACAAATCACACCTGTCAGGTTGATGGATTATCTTGGCAAAGGAGAAATGCTCACTAACAGGGATGTAAACACATTTGTGTACAAAATTTGAGAGAAATAAGCTTTTTGTGCATGTGGAACATTTCTGGGATCTTTTATGTCAGTTCATGAAACAAGGGACCAACACTTTACATGTTGTGTTTACATTTTTGTTCAGTGTACATGCATATAAATATATGGATATATATATATATATATATATACAGTGCATCCGGAAAGTATTCAGACCCCTTCCCTTTTTACACATTTTGTCACGTTACAGCCTTATTCTAAAATGGATTAAATAAATTGTTTTCCTCATCAATCTACACACAACACCCCATAATGACAAAGTGAAAACAGGTTTTTAGAAATGTTAGCAAATTTATTAAAAATAAACAGAAATACCTTATTTACATAAGTATTCAGACCCTTTGTTATGAGAATCGACATTGAGCTCAGGTGCATCCTGTTTCCATTGATCATTATTGAGATGTTTCTACAACTTGATTGGAGTCCACTTGTGGTAAATTCAATTGATTGGACATGATTTGGAAAAGCACACACCTGTCTATATAAGGTCCCACAGTTGACAGTGCATGTCAGAGCAAAAACCAAGCCATGAGGTCGAAGGAATTGTCCGTAGAGCTCCGAGACAGGACTGTGTCGAGGCACAGATCTGGGGAAGGGTACCAAAACATTTCTGCAGCATTGAAGGTCCCAAAGAACACAGTGGCCTCCATCATTCTTAAATGGAAGAAGTTTGGAACCACCAAGATTCTTCCTAGTGCTGGCCGCCCGGCCAAACTGAGAAATCGGGGGAGAAGGGCTTTGGTCAGGAAGGTGACCAAGAAGCCGATGGTCACTCTGACAGAGCTCCAGAATTCCTCTGTGGAGATGGTAGAACTTTCCAGAAAGACAACCATCTCTGCAGCACTCCACCAATCAGGCCTTTATGGTAGGGTGGCCAGACGGAAGCCACTCCTCAGTAAAAGGCACATGACAGCCCGCTTGGAGTTTGCCAAAAGGCACCTAAAGGACTCTCAGACCATGATAAACAAGAAACCAAGATGGAAATCTTTGGCCTGAATGCAAAGCATCACGTCTGGAGGAAACCGGGCACCATCCCCACGGTGAAGCATAGTGGTGGCAGCATCAGAGGCAGGGAGACTAGTCAGGATTGAGGGAAAGATGAACGGAGCAAAGTACAGAGAGATCCTTGATGAAAACCTACTACAGAGCGCTCAGGACCTGAGACTGGGGCGAAGGTTCACCTTCCAACAGGACAACGACCTGAAGCACACAGCCAAGACAACGCAGGAGTGGCTTCGGGACCAGTCTCTGAATGTCCTTGAGTGGCCCTGCCAGAGCCCGGACTTGATCCCGATCAAACATCTCTGGAGAGACCTGAAAATAACTGTGCAGCGACACTCCCCATCCAACCTGACAGAGCTTGAGATGATCTGCAGAAAATAATGGGAGAAACTCCCCAAATACAGGTGTGCCAAGCATGTAGCGTCTTACCCAAGAAGACTTGATGCTGTAATCGCTGCCAAAGGTGCTTCAACAAAGTAATGAGTAAAAGGTCTAAATACTTATGTAAATCTGATATTTCCGTTAAAAAAAAAAAAAAATTAGCAAAAATGTATAACTATCTGTTTTTTGCTTTGTCATTATGGGTTATTGTGTATAGATGAATGAGGAGGAAAAATGCACTGTATATCTGTCTTCATTGGCATCTGAAGATTGGCAGAATTTTATTGAGAGTGTCACGCTTAACATTAATAATATAATAATATATGCCATTTATTTATCCAAAGTGTCTTACAGTCATGTGTGCAAACATTTTACATACTGGTAATGCTGGGAATCAAACTCACAATCCTGGCATTGTAAGCACCATGCTCTAGCAACTGAGCTACGGAGGACCACAAGCACCATGCTCTACCAACTGAGCTACGGAGGACCACAAGCACCATGCTCTACCAACTGAGCTACGGAGGACCACAATCTCCATGCTCTACCAACTGAGCTACGGAGGACCACAATCTCCATGCTCTACCAACTGAGCTACGGAGGACCACAATCTCCATGCTCTACCAACTGAGCTACGGAGGACCACAATCTCCATGCTCTACCAACTGAGCTACGGAGGACCACAAGCACCATGCTCTACCAACTGAGCTACGGCGGACCACAAGTTAAGTTGCTCGTATACGTTATACCTGTGTAATAACGTTAGGCAACACTTAAAGTTTCACTTAAACGTACTTATTGCTGTGTAATTACATAGGTATAAGGGCAATTTAAGGTAAAGAATTACCTAACATTCTAATTTCCAACGGAACAGGGTGGCAGAAGCAGGACCATGGTTCAATTCACGTGGCGTCTTTTATCTGTCAGACCCAATTTTATTCATCATCTAAGATATTTTATTGATATCTAGGTTATCTAGGTTATCTAGGTTATCTGGGTTATCTAGGTTATCTAGGTTATCTAGGTTGTCTAGGTTATCTAGGTTAGGTTATCTAGGTTGTCTAGGTTATCTAGGTTGTCTAGGTTATCTAGGTTATCTGGGTTGTCTAGGTTATCTAGGTTATCTAGGTTGTCTAGGTTGTCTAGGTTGTCTAGGTTGTCTAGGTTATCTGGGTTATCTGGGTTATCTAGGTTGTCTAGGTTATCTAGGTTATCTAGGTTGTCTAGGTTGTCTAGGTTGTCTAGGTTTTCTAGGTTATCTAGGTTATCTAGGTTATCTAGGTTGTCTAGGTTATCTAGGTTGTCTAGGTTATCTAGGTTATCTAGGTTATCTGGGTTATCTGGGTTATCTAGGTTATCTAGGTTATCTAGGTTATCTGGGTTATCTGGGTTATCTAGGTTATCTAGGTTATCTGGGTTATCTAGGTTGTGCCCTCACCTCCTTTGATCTGTTTCATCCCTCGATCCCCGGGACCACCCATACACAAAAAAATGTATGCACGCATGACTGTAAGTCGCTTTGGATAAAAGCGTCTGCTAAATGGCATATTATTATTATTATATTATTATTAAAGTTGTAATAAAATGAGAGAAAGTCTGACTTTTTAATCTTGTTTGGAATGACCATTTAAATGACCAGTTTTTACCTTGGGCATCATTGTTTGGGTTCAGACATTAGTCTGGGGTGGGTTGGGCCCAGACATTAATCTGGGGTGGGTTGGGCCCAGACATTAATCTGGGGTGGGTTGGGCCCAGATATTAATCTGGGGTGGGTTGGGCCCAGACATTAATCTGGGGTGGGTTTGGCCCAGATATTGGGGTGGGTTGGGTCCAGACATTAATCTGGGGAGTGTTTGGCCCAGATATTGGGGTGGGTTGGGTCCAGACATTAATCTGGGGAGTGTTTGGCCCAGATATTGGGGTGGGTTGGGCCCAGACATTAATCTGGGGAGGGTTCGGCCCAGATATTGGGGTGGGTTGGGTACAGACATTAATCTGGGGAGTGTTTGGCCCAGATATTGGGGTGGGTTGGGTCCAGACATTAATATGGGGAGTGTTTGGCCCAGATATTGGGGTGGGTTGGGTCCAGACATTAATCTGGGGAGGGTTGGGCCCAGATATTGGGGTGGGTTGGGTCCAGACATTAATCTGGGGAGTGTTTGGCCCAGATATTGGGGTGGGTTGGGTCCAGACATTAATCTGGGGAGTGTTTGGCCCAGATATTGGGGTGGGTTGGGCCC